ATGACTTTCCTTTTGGTGCAGATGTGTGAATCTTCTGTTTTGTTTTCTCCCTTCATGGTTTCTTCATACAGCTGGTGTCTTGCTACATCAGGATCTCTCAAGACTCAGTTTCTTCCTCTGTTGGATGACAGACTCATTCTTTGAGGTGCCTTCCAGAGTCCCACAAAGGGAATTTGTAAATGCCACACAACTTAGATTTTAATTCAAAATTCAGAACATTTCAAACATGTTCTCCACATCTGGAGAAAAATCATTTACTGTTTCTGCATATGGTAGTATCAGGCAAAAAGATAGAGATATTTTCCTTACATAGATAGGTCAACTGGAGCAAATGGTGGCCTCACATTTGTAGAGGACTTAATGGTCATGAAATAATTTCATGCACAAAATTCTATTTCATTCCTCAAGTTATCCTTTCTAACCCTTCAGGAGCCCCTAACTCCCAACCCCAGCTTAAAACACACCAAGGATTTTCCATTCCCCGTGGTATAAAGATCAAAATCTTTGCCATGGCATCTAACTCTACCTCTAACTTTATCTCACCACAGCCTGTCCCAATGTCCTCTGCATTCCAGCCACACAGAACTTCTATCAGTTCCTCAAATGGACCACAGGACTTTTGCACATGCTTCTCTATCTGTGTTAAAATTTCTTTTCCACCCTCCATTTTGCCATTTAATTCCTACCCTTCCTTCAGTTTTCAGCTCCATTGTCACTTTTTCACGGAAGCCTTTCCCAGTCTCCCTGACCAGGTCAAAGCCATTTAAGAAGGCTCTACATAACTTCCTTTCTTAGCACTTAACTTAATTATAATTATACAAGTATTTGTGTGACTATTTGAATACCTTTTGTCTCCACTAGTAGATGGTAAGTTCTATAAGGGTAGCAACTACGCCTATTTTTGCTCATCAGTGTATCTACAGTACTAGCTCAGTTCGTGAAATGTATATTCCTAATACTTGATAACTGAATAGATAATAATCTCTTTGTGGAGAGAAGCTATTACATCCACAGAGAGTTTAAGGGAGTTGTCAAGGAACACAGACACAGGTATTTGATTCCAAGGTATTTGGTTCCTGATTTCAAGGCCAGGAAATGCATCATTCCAGGATTGGGAAGTATCTATCTCATAGCACACAGTAGGTGCCTAGTGCAGACTTGTTGAATAAAGAAATGAAAATAAGTGGAGGCCGGCCGCATGGCCAAGTGGTTAAGTTCATGCACTCCACTTCGGTGGCCCAGGGTTCATTAGTTTGGATTCTGGGCATGGACATACACACCGCTCATCAAGCCATGGTGTGGCGGCATCCCACATGGAAGAGCTAGAGTGACCTGCAACTGGGATACACAATTACATGCTGGGGCTTTAGGGAGAAGGAAAAAAAAAAAAAAGAGGAAGATTAGTAACAGATGTTAGCCCAGGGCGAATCTCCTCACCAAAAAACAAACGAAAAAAAGAAGTTTGGAAAATGCCATTTTTAAACAAAAAAAAAGAAATGAAAGTAGGAAAGAATAAATTGTGAACTTCACTATGGTTTTCAGTGTAAAGAAAATAGTCTTGGCTGTGACTTTGGGTGGGTCACATCACCTTTCTAGGCCTTAGCTGAAGTTTGAACTAAATGATCTTCGTGCTCTGCGAATCTGAGATTCTGTGCTTCCAAACTCCTCCTACTTTGGGATTCTGTTTAACATCAGGCACCTTCATGTGGTGGCTGAGTTACTTTGCAGCCCAGATTTGATTTTATGTTTTGGATCATTTTTAATGTACTCAAAGAGCAATTATCACTATGCAACAAGAGGCAATTGCAGGAGCAATTACATCAAGGATAACATATGGCAGCTATAGAAACAATGGAAAGTTATTGCAGAGTGATAAGCAGAGCAGATGGAAAAGTGTTGTTATAACCTTGACAGTTGACCCTGGGGCTTCTAGATATGTTATATAGTTATATGCAAGGAAGCAAAGAACATCTGGGCAAAAAGAGAGCACTTTTGAGTTTTATGTTGGCATTGTTACATGATTCAGAAACTAATAAAAGGGAAGCGTGAATCGTCTCAGTCATTCAGCCAAGAGTTAAGGTGAAACTATAAGAGAAAAGTGACTTTCTTATCCCCTCAAAATTGGGGTACTCCATCTAGCTAGTCATAGATATATGCTCTTATCCTGACCGCCTCCCAACCAGATTCCCCACTAAAGTGCTCCCCAGTCTGGAGCTAGCTTACTTGTCCAGATTCATCTCTCACCCTCTCCCTGACCTTGCCAATTCTCTGGCCTCACACTCACTGTTTTTTTCACTCCATGAAAAACCCCACGGCTCCTTCAGGTCCAGTTCAAATGTCATTTTCTCTGTGAAAACTTCCACAATGCTCTCAAGTAGACCTCTGTGCTACCCCCTCCAAATTCCCACAGCACTGACAAATAGAAATGGCAAGCAATAGGATATATTGGAGTATGTGAAGAAGCCATTTGGTGTAAACCTAATTCGGCCTTTGTTTTTTCCGAAAGAGCCTGACGTGGCCATTGAGCAGGCATTATACATCTGCTTTAAACATTTACTATGGCAAGAACAAATGCCCTTAAGATAAAGGTGCAACTTCCCCCCACATTGGCATTTCCTTAAGGATAAGCATCTTTCCTTAGGCTAGGAACTGATTGCTGCACTCACCTTTGATCACCTAGCTCACCTGTGACCACCCAGCTCGAGACAACAGACCTGCCACCCTGCTGTGTCCACCAAGACAACAGACCTACCCGCTGTGTCTATCAATCGCTGTGCCGACAGAGCAGTCTCGTGACTATTGTAAAAGGGACATTTCGATCACATGTGAAGCATCCTCTTTGGGGGTATATAACCACTCTGTACACCCCACTTCTTGGGTGCCCTTTCTTCCTTGGGAAGAAAGGCCCCAGGCCATGGTCCTCACATGTTAGCTCAGAATAAACTCACCCAAATTTTCACTTATAGAATGATATGGATTATTTTTGTCGACAGGACTTATTTATGCTCAGGTGATAGCACTGATGGCCATCTGATTCATGTTGTGATTACTGTCTGTCCGTCTCTGTCTACCCCAATCACTCCACTAGCCTATAAGACCCTTGAGGACAGGGACCATGCCTTGTTCATCATAATAGACTCCAAGCACACAGTTGCATGCCTGACTTTTAGAAAGTCTATTGAGTTAAACGCTAGGTGGCAACTAATCAGTAGATGAATTTATTGTCATGGAAGAATGAGTCCTAGGATGCCAACCCATGTAATAAAGTTTATTTTATCAGGGATTTTTCAGTGGCCTCACCTTAAACCCAAAGAATTAACTCCAATGCTAAGAATTTCAAGCACTCCGATAGGCCAATAATGAAGTTTTTAGAAGAGGTAGAATATTACTCTGATTCTTATGTTTTACCTAAAAATATTAAGCTCTTTTCAATGCCAGGCACAGAACTAGAGCTTTACATACTTAATGCCATTTAATCTTCAAAGAACCCTATGAGGTATTACGATTCCCATTTTCAGATAGAATAGTTGAGATGAAGTAGATAAGTTCCTCTCTGCAGGCCATGGGGTTAGTAAGTGGCATGGCTGGGATTTGAACCCAAGGCCTAAAACCTACACCTAAAACCTAAATCCTGAACTTGAACTTCTCACCACCATGCTATGCTCCACATAGTTATAAGGCCAAACCTGGTATCTGAACTGTGGGTCATAGTCTTTAATGTTTTTCTTCACCTCTTATTACTTTTAATTTACTGTTAATTTTACCCACGTAAACTCTTTCACTTAGATATTTCATAATTCTACCTGGAAGAACCTGACCCCCTTTACTAACACTTATTATTAACATTTTAAGGACTCACTTTATCCCTCCATTTTAGAGATAAGAAAACACAGAGCAGTTATGTAACTTGGCCAAAGTCACATAGCTAATAATGATGAGAGCCCAGAGCAAACCCAAAGCCATTTGACTCTCGCACCTAAGTGCCATCATACACTTCCTTAGAGCTCCCTGTGTCATTTGAAAATCCACATGTCAAGGTGTCTGGTGCTGTAACCTACCCAGTCAATCCCTGAGTCAGTCCAATTGCAGCGACCAAAATCACATATGAATGTAAATGCCTTCTTTTTGAAGAAAACAAAATCCACAGTTTTTTTATATATAAAAAGGTACTGAGATCTATGTCAAGCTGTAATTCTACCTCATCTGCTTCCTGTAGGTGGTCTCAGTTCTGCTTTTATCACTAACTGCTATTGTCCTACATTAGACTCAACTTAATCCTTTTAGAAAAACACAGGTAAATAATCTCAAACCCATAATCATTTGCCTGGTTGGTCAGATTGTTTTCTCATTTTACCAAGAGATAATTGTCCACCATCATAGAAGTTCTACATATGAGATCTTTTTATTTTTCTGCTTTTTGGTGAGGAAGATTGGCCCTGCCCTGACATCTGTTGCCAATCTTCCTCTTTTTTGTTTTTCTCCCCAAAGCCCCAGTACACAGTTGTACATACTAGCTGTATGTCCTTCTAGTTCTTCTATGTGGGATGCCGCCACAGCCTGGCTTGATGAGCGGTGTGTAGGTCTATACCCAGGATCCAAATCTGTGAACCCCAGGCCGCTAGCAGAGTGGGCAAACTTAACAACTATGCCACTGGGCTGGCCCCCACATATGAGATCTAATACAGTAATAAGCACTAACATTTACTGAGTCTTTATATCATATGCCAGACAATGCGCTGAACTTCTTCCCACAGATCCCTTATTTACATTGTCTTTTTATTAGCCCTGTTTTATAGGTGAGGAACTATGCCCTGGGAAGCTGAGACCCTTGCCCCAGGACCCATGGCTGGATCCAGATTTATCTGATTCCCGAGCCTAGATTCAACCGGTCAATTATTCTTAGTCTCTGCTGCCACTATTCTAGTCTCTTTTTTTACCCCTATCATTAAGGAAAGTTAATTTTTTTAGAAAAATAATTTTAAAAAAAGTGAATAGAATACCTGATAAGGCCCAGGTCATCTCCATTCAAATCCACCATTTTCAAGACTATCATTTCCTTGTCTGTATTTGAAGAATACCTAGCCAACAAAACAAAGAAACTTAGTCAGTTCTGTGTTAGAGCCCAGCCCTCGTGTATGACAAACAGCAGAAGCTGGTACAAAAACACCTCTCAGTAAGTGAGACTTCCTGACATAATGTACTCCTGTGAGCTGCATCCAGGACCTCATGCCTCAGCTAAAGAAATGGTTTGCAACTGTGATCAGAGTGAGGGGCATTCGGTCAGCTAACTGGAGATGAAATGGACATTTTTTTATGTAATATAAGCAATGTTATATAAAATATGTGTATTTCCTACTAAAAGGATTTGACTTTGAAATTTCTACTCATATCAAATTTTAATGGAATTTCTTAATAGCAGGGAATATGCAAAATCAAAATCATTCATGACCTGCAACTTTAAGTGTCCTTTTATATCCTTTCAAGGGAAATCAGAATATGTTTTCTAAAAATCAACTCCTTTGAGATCTATTGAAAAATATGCAGACAAATGTAAAATGTCAAGTGGTCAAATTGAAACTGAGTATTATTTTACTCTGCCATAGCAGCCAAGTACTTCTCTTTTGTTGCAAACCCGATTCATCACTTAAAATCATCATCATCATCATCATCATCTTTCTTAGTTATTCCATTCAGTTATGCTAGTTTTATTTCTTGCTCTTCATTCCAGTTTCTTTATTCTTTCATCTCCTCTCTCTTGCCACATTCCCCTAGACTAAGAAGATTTCTTCTGAATAACATAATACTGAGAGCGATGCAGTAATTTAACAAAGACATGTTATGCACATTTTTATTTCCATTTTACAGATGAAGAAGCTGAGCGCCAATATATTAAGATAAGTAAATCACTAAAGGTCACACAACCAGGAAGGGATCAAGCTAAGATGAGACCACAGTTGTGCCTGATTCCAAAGCCCAGACTCCTTCAGACCTTCCCCTCCACTCCCACAGCCAGCAAAGTGGGGAGATTCATGCACACGTCAGTGTGTGTTTCTACAGTCACTTTTTATTTCTACTCGTCTTAGATCATAAACATTTGTAAATTGTTTTAGCTTTAATACTCTTTAGGATCCCATCATATTCATCCAGTAACTATCCTGTTCTTAGATTTTGTTGCTGTTTCCCAAAGGAAACACACAATTTCATTTTGATGATTCCCCCCTCACCTTGCTCTCTCAGACTGGGGATTCTGAAGGTAAGAGTAAGGGCTTCGGTTGATCTGCGCACCATCCACATTTCCTTTGTTGATCAAGATTCTGCCTCGTTTCATATTTGTGTGTGCTATCTCAATGCTCTGCAGGTCAAAAAAAAACAGAGTTGTAAATTTAGAAATCCTGATGGAGATAATGACTTAATATAAACAGAAGAGCCCTGTGGACAATTTCCTTTGTCTCCAACCTGTCCCCCCAGGGGATGAAAGCTGGAGAACCATACAGCTGGAGTCATTCTGGAGGTAAACAGACAGGGGCTTCAGGGTAGAGATAGAAGAAGTGCTGTGTATAGGGAAGCACGCTGCTTATCAGCACCTGAGCCTCTCGGGCCTGCTGAGTCAGGCACCATCTGCCATCTCAGATGACCCAAATGGGAGAATTGACTCCTACAACACTGGACAAGATTTGTTAACATGTAGGTATTCCACCCTCCCTACCCTCTCCATCCCTCCTCCCTCTAAGGCAGAATTTTTCAAACTTTTTTGACTGAGAACCACAGTAAGCAGTACATTTTTCATCATAACTTAATATACGTCAACATATGAATCCTAAAACAAAAGTTCACAAAACAAACTACATCCTTATTATGGGTTATGCACTATGATAATTTCCAATCTATTCTATTTCAGTTCTTTTTTAAATGCTTATTGCAACCCGTGAAATTGGTTTCATAAAGCTAGTCGTAGATTGCTATCCAGTTTGAAAAACATTGTTGTAAAGACATTCCTGCATTTGCTGGTTGGATCCCCGGATTTGGGGGGTGACTTTATAAGGAAAAGTAGACAGAGACTAAACCCAAAAGGTAAAGGAAAGACGAAAACATTAGCAAGGATCCTATGTGAGAAAATATTAAGCTGGAAGGCAGGGGAGCAAGGAGTAAAAGCTACTCAAGCAGGAATGGGAGAAGATTGAGGGTATCCGTTCAGAGCACCTTGTTGGTCTAGAGCTGCCGCAGAGACATGAAGATGTGCGTGCACAAATCTCATCCCCTCTGATGCTCTTTGGGAAATACAAGGAAAGATTGGGAATAATTGTAATTACTTTTGATTCCATGACGGGTTCTTTTTCATGTGACTTTGTGCAGAGAACAGATCACGTAGGGTCCTATATAATTTATAAGGGTTATGTACAAAACGTTTTCTGTCTCTTTAGACCACTGCCTGAGGCTTACTGCCACAGAACTCTCCTCTCCCAATCAATCAGTACCTCAGGCTTAACAGCCCACAGCTCAGGACCAGAAGCTACAAGGGAGTCAGGCAGGGGAAAGAGAGCTAAGTGCTAAGACTGTGCTCAGATCAAGATCCAGTAGAGACTCTCTCCGTATAACACCAAACCACTCCTAAAACCCTGTGAGCACCAGTGAAGAACAGCTCCCTTCTGGGGCTCTTTGCCTACCTGCACGATGCCACTGACTATGTACTCAAAAGTTCGATTAGTATATCCTTCGCTGGCAATCACAAATAGAGTGTACTGGAAATATCCGGCTGGCCCCGAGTGTGTGTGAGTGCCACTCAGGATGACATTATCTTTTCTGTATAGGGAGCCATATTTCATCTGCAGTCTGTTCAGGACCTTCAAAAAAGAAAAAAAAAAACACACACACACTGAAGTAAGAAGAGAGATAACATAGACAGGAGCCTAGCATGAGAAAAGGCTCTGATAAGTCCAAACATATCAGTCACATCCCTGTCAAGTGGCCCTTCACTCCATGCCTGAGTATATCATCGTAGTAACAACAACAATAATTTCAATAGCTAACATTTTATAGATTCCTGTTATGTGCAAGCACAATACTAGGTTTTACATACACTATGTCATTTAAAAAGCTTTATAACAACCCCAAACGTAGGTATTTTTAACCCTATCTTTTAGCTGAGAACATTGAAGTATACAGAAATTAAGTAATTTACCCCCTGGTCTAATAAATAGCAGAACCAGAAGCCAGATCCAAGTCTGTCTAACTGTAGAACCAGTACTCTTACCTATGCATCATTCAACACATAGTATATTAGAACATCCAGGCACTGTTCTAAGCGCTAGGAATACGTGAGTTTCCTACTCTGAAGAAGTTTTTATTCTGAAGTAAAAAAGATAATAAACAAACCAATAAATATTTCATATTATATCATATGGTGATAAATGCTATGAAGAAAAATATTGCTGAGTAAGGAAAAAGAGAGTGATGGGTGTTAATGAGGAAAGATCTTTCCAAAGAGCTTACCTTTCATCAGAGGTTCAAATGAAGAGAGCAAAGTGGTCATGCAATACCTGGAGGAAAAGCATCCTGGGCACAGTGAACAGACAGTGCAAAGGCCTCTTTACTGCCTCCCTTCTCACGACAAAGAACTCAATATTCCCTGACACAGACCACTACACTTATTGGTCTGGAGGAAGCCAGCCACAATGATCTAAGGACACCCTGGCAGAGAGTGCAGAGAGGCTCACGTGGAAAAGAACCATGTTGTCAGCACTAACTTGCTAGCCACGTAGGTGAGCAACCTCAGAAGCAGATCCGCCAGCCTCAGCCAAGCCTTCAAACAACTGTAGCCCCAGCCAACATCTGAGCTCGACCTCATGTCACAGAAGTGATGGTATGTGACTTCTGTTCTAACCTAAGTCAGAATCACCTAACCCAGCCACTCTAAAATTCCTGACCCACTGAGCGATAACATGTGATTGTTGCTGCTTTAAGCCACTGAGTTTTCCAGATCACTTGTTGTACAGCAGTAGACAACGAACGCAAAGAGACTCAGTAAATGCTCATTGAATTAATCAATCAATGAACATCCAAATCCACGTTTAGTGTCTTTGTATGGTGCATATACATCAAGAAAAAAACAGAGAAAATCAGTGATGTTGCCGAGTATTATTTCAGAATATGCTTTAACCAGCTGCAGCCTGAAGTTTGATATTATTGTGACTTCTTTGTAAAAGGTATTTTGACTTTTTTACATCAGAAATCATTAAAATGATCCAGCAAAAGTGTCAAACCCACAGCAACCTTTCTCAATGTCATATTCTGTCACCTAATACCAGGGACAATGATGAAAACTCATTTATGGCAAAGATGGCAAATACTGCTTATCCCATGCACTCAGTCCTATTTATTGGGGGTTGCTGCCAGCAGGAATGTGTTGAGAATGTTTCTGAATCCAAATCTAGGCTTAGCAAAAAAGAGTGCCTTTTTTGATTAGCAATGCTATCTACCTTGATTATGGCACAGGCCACGGTATGCTGATAAACTGTCTCTCTAAAGAAGAAAAGCAGAGCCCTCATTTGTATTGTTTGACAATTTCTGTGATGTAAATACTCCCACCATAGTCAATTTCAAGCTACCAAAAGTTTAACAACGAGCTCACAAAGTTCCTGAGTATTTAACAATCAGCTCTCATGAGCTGGTGCAAGCCAGTTCCAGCACACCACTGGTACATAAGGGAGTAACAGCAACTTACATGCTATATACTTAGCATACATAAAGACATCCATTCAACCTCTTCTATTTTAGGTGAAGAGCTCTATCACACTTATTCTAGTCACGTGGTCATTGAATCAGGAAGATCTTACAAATGATCTTGCCTCATTAACCTCTCCATGTCCCAAATACTGATTGCTAGGTTACCTTGTCCACATGAGCAATCCTGTGATACCAGGCAAATGTGGAAAGGAAATATGATATAGCCAGACTAACACCCCTCTGACAAAGTAGCTCACATTCCCCATCCCAGTAAGTTTCCATGTTCCTTCTGTTTGATCCTGACTCCAGTCCCAACTCTCCATCACTCTTATGTATTCTTCCACACAGTAACTACCACACTCATGATAAAGAAATATTTGTAGGGAGAAGGGGGAACAATCAATGAAGGGACACCATGAAAGCTTAACTAATGTCAAAGGCTAATACTCCTACATTTCTGTAATCAAGACAATAAGGTAGTAAAAAAAAAAAAAAAAAAAAAAAAAAAAAAAAAAGAATTGCCAGTAAACCTAAAAGCTCCCCTAATCTTACCTGTTTTTTACTTCTAAAGAACTAAAATGTCAGGATTCTAGAATTAAGTGCAGTTCTTCAGATTTATTCAAGAATCAAGCTCTTAAAAAGATAAAAATTATGAATCTTGAATTGTAAAACAAAAGAAACAGACTACAATCCTCAACAAAATATTGGCAAACCAAATACAGCAATACATTAAAAAGATCATACACCATGATCAAGTAGGGTTCATACCAGGGACACAGAGACGGTTCAACATCCACAAATCAATCAATGTGATACACCACAGTAACAAAATGAGGAACAAAAAACACATGATAATCTCAATAGACACAGCAAAAGCATTTGCCAAGATCCAACATCCATTCATGATAAAAACTCTCAATAAAACGGGTATATAAGGAAAGTACCTCAACATGATAAAGGCCATACATGACAAACCCACAGCCAACATCATACTCAATGGGGAAAAACTGAAAGCCATCCCTCTGAGAAGAGGAACAAGACTAGGGTGCCCACTCTCACCACTCTTATTCAACATAGTACTGGAGGGTTTGGCCAGAGCAATTAGGCAAGAAAAAGAAATAAAAGGAATCAAAATAGGCAGTGAAGAAGTGAAACTCTCACTGCTTGCAGATGACATGATTTTAAATATAGAAAACCCTAAAGAATCCATCAGAAAACTATTAGAAATAACCAAAAACTACAGCAAAGTTGCAGAGTACAAAATCAACTTACAAAAATCAGTGACATTGCTATACTTCAATAATGAACTAACAAAACAAGATCTCAAGAATACAATTCCATTTACCATCATAACAAAAAGAACAAAATATCTAGGAATAAATTTAACCAAGGAGGTGAAGGACCTATACAAGGAAAACTATAAGACATTACTGAAAGAAATCGATAATGACATAAAGAAATGGAAAGATATACCATGCATGTGGATTGGAAGAATAAATATAGTTAAAATGTCCATACTACTCAAAGCTATCTACAGATTCAATGCAATCCCACTCAGAATCCCAATGACATTCTTCACAGAAATAGAACAAATAACGTTAAAATTCCTATGGGGCAGCAAAAGACCCTGAATAGCCAAAGCAATCCTGAGAAACAAGAACAAAGCTGGTGGCATCATGATCTCTGACTTCAAAATATATTATGAAGCCATAGTAATCAAAACAACATGGTACCAGTATAAAAACAGGCACACAGATCAATGGAACAGAATTGAAAACCCAGAAATAAAACCACACATCTACAGACAGCTAATCTTCAACAAAGGAGCCAAGAACATACAACGGAAAAAGGAAACCCTCTTCAATAAATGGTGCTGGGAACACTGGACAGCCACGTGCAAAAGAATGAAAGTAGACCACTATCTGTCTCCATACACAAAAATAGACTGAAAATGGACCAAAGACTTGAAGGTAAAACCTGAAACCATAAAAGTTCTGGAAGAAAATATAGGCAGTACACTCTTTGACATCAGCCTTAAAAGGATCTTTTTGAATACCATGTGTACTCTGACAAGGATAATAAAAGAAAAAATAAACAAGTGGAACTTCATCAGACTAAAGAGCTTCTGGAAGGCAAAGGAAACCAGGATCAAAACAAAACAACAATGCACAAACTGGGAGAAAATATTTGCAAATCATATATCCGACAAGGGGTTAATCTCCATGATATATAAAGAATGCAAACAACTGAACTACAAAAAACAATCCAATCAAAAAATGGGCAGACGATATGAACAGACATTTTTCCAAAGAAGATACACAGACGGCGAACAGGCACATGAAAAGATGCTCAACGTCACTAATCATCAGGGAAGTGCAAATCAAAACTACACTTAGATATCACCTTATGCCAATTAGGATGGCTATAATCACCAAGCCAAGAAATAACAAATGTTGGAGAGGTTGTGGAGAAAAGGGGACCCTCATACATTGCTGGTGAGAGTGCAAACTGGCGCAGCCACTATGGAAAACAGTATGGAGATTTCTGAAAAAATTAAAAATAGAAATACCATATGACCCAGCTATTCCACTACTGGGGATTTATCCAAAGAACTTGAAATCAACAATACAAAGAAACTTATACACACCTACATTCATTGCAGGATTATTCACAATAGCCAAGACATGGAAGCAACCCAAGTGCCCACCAACTGATTATTGGATAAAGAAGATGTGGCATACACACACACACACACACACACACACACACACACACACACAAACACAATGGAATACTACTCAGTCATAAAAAAGACAAAATCATCCTATTCGCAACCATGTGGATGGGATACCTTGAGGGTATTATGTTAAGTGAAATAAGCCAGACAGAGAGAAACAAACACTATATGATTTTACTTATTTGTGAAACATAAACTCATGGACAAAGAGAACAGTTCAGTGATTACTAAAGGTGGAGAAGGGGTGGGTTGGGCACAAGGGGTGAAGGGGCACATTTATATGGTGTCTGACAAATAATAATGTACAACTGAAATTTCCCAATGTTATAAACTCTTATGACCACAATATAAAAAAGAAAGAAAGAAAGAAAAAGACTACAAACAGCTCACAGAAATCTTATCCTAAATCTTTGATATTAAGTCAAACACATGAGATTTCTGGGGAAAAGAAATTAAAAACTCAATCATCTAATAACAATGCCTGCAAATAGACATTACAAATAGTGTGTTTCCTACTTCATGAAAGGAGAGGTATTTTAACAAAAAGCAAAGAAGTTATGTTAATGTCTATAGCTCACTTCTTTGTCTTCAGTTTCCATTCTATTTCCTATTACTGACACTCTTGGGAATACCACATAGAAAGAGTTAGAAACTCATTCTGTTTTCCTGCCCTGCCTCAGTGCTCAGAGATCTTCCTTAATCTTCATTCCATGCTGGAAATTTCATCAATCTTAAAGCTGAGCCTGAGAACTTGCCTAAAACTAGGTGTTATAAATAAGCTTAGTGGCACTTGTGTAGCCACGTTTATTTTTCACACTTTCCCTTGTGTTAACTTGGGATAACTAAGTGGGTACATTTAAAGGCCTTCCCACAGGGTCTCAGATTGCATGGAAAAGTAAAAATTGGAAGAGATGGTTAAATGTTGCCCACTATTGACTTGATGGTGTCTATAACCCAACACATTAAACCCCTCTCCCCTCCACACCGCACCCCCAAAGTCTACTTTTTGACTCTCCTATTTCTGCTAATGACCCCATGATTTCCCAGTCAGAATCACCTTTGATTCCTCAGAAAAACGGTATAGTGTGGTGGTAATGAATGTGGGCTTTGGCACCAAGATGCCTATGTTTGAATCCCAGTTCCGACAGTACCTAGTTGTATAACCTTGAACAAGTTTCTTAATCCTCTGCAACTCAGTTTCCCAATCCGTCAAATGACATAATAATAGTACCTTTCTCATACAGTTGTTTGGAAGATCAAATTAATTAATATTTATGAAGCACTAAGAACAGGCCCTGACTCATCATGGGAACTATGTTAAGTGTTAGCTTTTATGTCTATTCATCCACAAATCTCATTAGCACTTAATTTTACCTATTACCACCATGTAGTCTCACTGCCACCCCATTGGTTTAAGACTTTTGTGCCAGCCTCACTCGATACAAGGGAAGTTGCCAGGCAGAATTAAAATCCTTCCTGCAACCCTAGTTTCCCTTTCTAGTTCTCTCAGCCTTCCAACACCTTGTAAAATTCCCCTGTATTAAATCCCCTCTGTTTGAAAGGCATAGTATGATTACTGTTTTCCTAACTGGACCCTCACCAATAAAGCCTTGACATTCATTTAAATAATCTGCCAATTTTGTGTCCTCACCTCTAGTTCTAGTCTTTTTCAATCCACCTCAAACATCTCTGATTAATCACCCTAAAGCAAAATTGTGTTTGCATCACTCCTCCACCCAAAATTTTTCTAAGAATCCCCATCACTCACAGAATTAAAAACAACCTGGCATCACAGGATCTCTACAATTACAACCAATATACCTTCCAATACATCTCCAATTACATGCCTACATGTGTCCTAATAGAACTAATCTCTGTTCCTTCAAAGAAGACTCTACATTCCCCTCTTGTGCTTCCATGTGTTCATGCTGTCCCCTCCATTTGAGAGCTTTCCTTCCCCATGTTAACCATTTAAAATCCTGCCCATTCAAGTGTCACTTTCACTTTGAAATTTTTCCCCTAATTTCCTTTTCCTGAATCCCCATGTGGTGCTGGTAAAATACTGTATGTCCACAAATTCTTTGATACTCCTGCCTTCAAAAACAGGTGAAACTTAACTTTCCTACTCCTGAGTAGGAACTGGACTTAGTGACTTGCTTCCAGTGAATAGAACAGTGTGAAATTGACAGTGTGCAACTTCTGAGCCAGGGTTATAAAAAGCACTGTGGCTTCTTCCCTGATCTTTCTCTTGAGTTACTCATTCTGAGAGAAGTCAGCTGCTCTGTCACAAGAATATGGAGAGTGGGGAACTGAGGCCTTCTGCCAATAGCTACAAGAGTGAATCATCTTGGAAGTAAGTCACCCAGCCCCAGTCAAGTCTTCAGATGACTGTAGCCTTTGCAATATCTTGATTTCAAGATACCTTAAGCTGGAACCACCTAGCTAAGCCATTCCTGAATTCCTGACCCACAGAATGTATGAGATAATGAATGTTTATTGTTTGAAGCCACTATATTTTGGGGCTATTTGTTACACTGTAAGAGATAACTAATACACTCCTGTACTTTACTCCAGTGAACTATAGTTATTTGCGTATTTCTGTTACAGTCCCTTCCTCCTATCCCACAAAGAGGTCATGAGTTTGTAGGGCACATGGATTATGACTCACTTAGCTGTGTGCCTCCTGAAATGACTAGTAAAGTGCCTTGCAAAAAGCAGGTGTTCAATGCATTTTTCCCACAAAGAAAATAGATAATGTCACTTTTAAGAATCTGAACTCTGGGATCAGGCATACATGTGTTCAGAACCTAGCTTTACCACTTGCTAACTGTGTGAATTTGGGAAAGTTACTTACCGTCTCTAAGACTCAGTTTTCTTTTTTTTTTTTTTCATTTTAAATTGTTTAGGGTTTAAACCATTTTTAAACAAAGAACTTAACTTGGTTTTTTTTCTTTGTTTTTAAAGGTATGCTTTTTGGTGAGGAAGATTGGCCCTGAGCCAACATTTGTTGCCAATCTTCCCCCTTTTTTTTTCCTCCTCAAAGCCCCAGTACATAGTTGTATATCCTAGTTGTAAATCGTTTTAGTTCTTCGATGTGGGATGCCACCGCAGCGTGGCTTGATGAGTGGTGTGTAGGTCTGCACCCAGGATCCAAATTGGTGAACCCTGGGCTGCTAAAGCGGGGCACACAAACTTAACCATTTGGCAACAGGCCTGTCCCTCAGTTTTCTTATCCATAAAATGGGGATAACAACAGACCCACCTCAGTTTTGTTCTAAGTATAGGATTGGGGAAAACACTTAATCCCCTGCTCCTCACGTTTACGTAGATGGGAGAGGCTTCCATTCTACTCCTTAAGAGGGAGCAATATTAGAGAAATGCTTTTAGGCCCTCTTGTCACCCCTCTCACTGCCCCTTCGCACAGCATAAGGAGCAAAGTGTTTACTAGGTGAGACTGATAGAACATGACAGTGAATAATGGACATTTAATGGTCATGATTCTGGGTGCTCCCGATTCTTCTCTTTCTCACATTCATGAATATGCAAACAGACATTAAGGGAACACATTCTCTTGCTGTGACCTGATCCCATGCAGAAAATATTACTGGGTCAGGGCCTAGAAATTAGCTTAAAGAGACAGACATAGAAGTCCATATCTAGCACTCTATTTCTCTCTCTCTCACCCTCCCCACTTCCTTCTCTCTGTCCCTCCCTTCTTTCCTCCCTCTTTTTCTCTCACTCAGGACCTTATAGATCTTAGGCCGCCCAGGAACTGCTCCTCACCCCACACCCTCTCCCCCTCCACACACCCCCCCACACCCCCGCCATGCACCTTTCTGCTAAGCTCAACTTTTCCCATAGTAACAAGATCTAAACTGGGGAAAACTCATTGAAAAACCTGCCATATTCTACAATATAGTTTAAAGATTACCAGAGCTGACATACTCTTTTTAAGTTTTATTACGGAAATTTTCAAACACATACAAAAATAATCAGAATAGTATAATGAAATCCCCATGTGCTTAACACCCAGCTTCAGCAAATTATGGCCAACCTCATTTCAGTGTTGTGTTTAAACTCTCATCTGGTTCCTTGCATCTATTCTCAATTGTCTAAAAACTTGAGGGAAGGATTAGTGATTGATTGGTGATCTCAGACTTTTAACAAGGAGTACTAATTAAGAGAATGTACATGAAGGTCACCTGGAATGTAATAAGCTTTCAAAAAAACATTAATATTAATAATGATGATGCACCATCAGCAGAATTGAAAGCAAATTTTGACCAAGATGACTTAGAATCTTTCCAAGATGACTTGGGAAAATGAGGATCATTGTCCTCACACGATTGTGTGCTGGATTGTCAAGAGCTTATAATGTTGAGGTTAGTAGAAACTTACTGGAAGAGAAACCAGGAGGCCTTAGTGGCTGTCACGTTCACCCACAGACTTTTCTTTTAAATCATGTCCTTTCTTTCTCATTTTAATCACTTACCTCCAGCCTGAGTCGTTGGGATACCATGCCTATGTCGATGCTGACAAACACCATTCGATTTGACCCATCAGGTTCCGCCATGATGAAAGCACGACTGTACAACCTTGTGAGGATGCCCCGAGCATACTGACCACTTTTGCCGTAGCCCATCTAAAGAGGAAAGCAGAATCAGAGCCACTGTGTCTCACTGCTCTGCTACCAGAAACCAGGCCCCACCATACAAGAATAGACTACTTAAGAGAGACAAAAAACAATCCACATGACACTGTGGCTCCAAGCAAGATAATATATGTGTTTTCAAGAATAAAGCCAAATCATAAGGGAGGCTTTATTCTTCTGTGTAGAAAAACGTAAAGGCAAAGTAGTGATCAGCTTAGCAGAAGCTGTTCACTGGTCTATGGAGGAGGAGGGAGTTGGGCTGGCTCAGGAATTCCATTACCACACTGGAGACCTTTCAGGGCTCTTCAGTTCTTTGAAACAGAACCTTTTTTCCTGGCTGTTTAAGGCACTACACAAGGAAATAGTTCGCTATCACCATCCTACATTGCCCAGTAACATCCTGAAGATTGAAGGCTCCCTCGCTTTGGTTATTTGATGTGTGATTTTCTTTTTCCTGAAGAATATGGTTTCTTTATGATGAAGTAATCTTTACTGAGGGTGCCTCACCCTGGCTTTTACCACATTGTCCCTCCCTAAGCCAAGCCAGATGAAATACATCTACCCCAACCCCTTTCTCTCACCATGTCGTAAAACCCACCCTTAAAGCCATACCCAGGTCTTAAGAATGCTCCCTCCACTGCTTGCTTTATCCATCAGGTGAGTGTTCATTTAGGGCTCACATTCCAGAGTCACTTTTCAGAACAGACAACAGGGAATAATTCCCAGAGTCTAAAGATTATTCGGTAGGAGGGAGAAAATCCCATCAGACAATTTCATGCTCTGGTATCCCTAGGGAAGTGTTGATATAAATGGATATTTCCACCATCATAGCCAAGAAGTTCCATGCTGGCAGCCAGTGGGCCACACTTCACATATAGACATGTTTTACTTGGCTGACACAGTGTTGGTCCATACAAGGTTTCCAGTTTTAACTAACTAGAGTTGCCTAGATTTTCCAACTGAAAGATTGAAATCCTCAGATCTTCAATCCAAAGACTTTCTGGCTTCTCTTAAAACAAACAAAAAAACTGTGAGAGAGGGCAGCCCTGAGTCCACATTCTTACATGGCAACAATTAGCTAGAGCCATGCAGTTTCTAGTCGCACCACAGTCCCTGTCACTTCCTACTGACTCCAAAATGAGGATTCGCTAGATATTTATCTTATACTGGCCTGCTTCAGTCATTTACGGTACCTGCCCAACCCCTGTAGTATGAGTTTTCCAGTCCTGACACTTCATAAGAAATGGCCGGTTGTCTTCACAAGGGAGTTGTGGTTGAATAACAGTTCCCCTCTTCCTTATAGTACAATATTCTTAGCGTTAGCAGTGAAGTCAATAGAAAAGGAAGAAGATGATGTAATAATCATAAATAAATTTAGGATGCAAAATAATACAATTACTTGTTTCATAGTCTCTTTGAGGAGCCCATGATTAACCTACCAAAGTGATATCTGCCACTTGTCCTGTGCAGTCAGCTCGCCCAACACCAATTTGGTAGCCACTGAAGTTCTGAAATGGAGTGGTCTCCAGGGTGCTGGTCACTGGAGACATCCGGGTGGCCATGTGGCCCTGGGTCAGTGTTGAGCCTCGAGGGGCTGTGGAGTCTTGAGTGGCCAGAGGGCTCTCATTGGCCTGAGGGCTCTGGGTGGCCTGAGGGCTCTGGGTGGTTGAATAACCTGAATCTAAAAATGGAATAAGAAATTTAAGAAACAATATTTCAGCCCACATATTTATTGGCATCAATTAGAACTCATAGGTTCAACTTTCTAAGGAAAAATCATTGCATATTCTCTTATATATATAGAATATAAGGTGAGAAACATTTCAGGAACATATTTTATATCATAATCCTGAAGACGATATTTTTCTTGGGCTGGAGATGTTTCAGCTGAACAATCAAGGCCTCCATCAATGGTCCTTCCACTTCTCATCACAAGGCATTCCTTGTCAAACTCGTCACCCTTCATTCACTCACTCTGCACTTCTTTTTCAGGCAAATGAATCGGGTGCCATGTTCCTGGCACACAACCTACTAAATCCAGCCTCTGGGGATTTGTTTCTTCTATTTTCTCCATCCAGAGCCCTCACTCCTTTCCACTCCATCAGCCAATCTCCACTACCCGCTTCAGAGTTGGTTCATTTCCATCACACTCAGATTCAGCTCAACCCCTCATCTCTAGGATGCCACCTCCAGCTGTCCTTACCCTGCTCTGGTCTTCCTCAACCTTCTAAAGACTTTTATTCTTAATGCAACCTAGATCACTGTACACTTGTGACATAGTTCCACCTTATTTGAATGATTCTTATACCACCATATATGTATGTGTATGTACACACATACATTCTATATTAATGTATATATCATAGACACACACACACACACAAACATCAAGGGAGGCAGAATGGCATAGAGACTAAGTGGCAGGTGCCGGAAACAAACAGCCTGGGTTTGAAAACTGGCTTTACCCCTTACTAACTGAACAAATCACCTTGCCTATTTCACCCCAGTTTTTTCATCTATAAAATGGAGATAACAATAATAATACCCTACTTCCTAAGATTGTTTTGAACAACAAATATATTAATGCATATTAAAAATGTAGAGCAATGGCTGGCTTTTAGCTTTGGTTTTATTTACATATTTAGACACCTTACATAAACAGTTTATTTGTTTGCTTGTTTCCACCCTTGACAACAGTCAGGGGTGGCCACAGCAGCAAATGTCAGTGTCTCTATGCACTAGTGGTCAGAAAGTACTTAGGCAAGAAATTAATGGCTAACTCCTTCTCGGATCCTAGAATTCTGGAGCTCAAAAAACCCTAGAGATCATGTAGTCTAGTCTCCTCAGCTTTACATATGAGAAATCTAAAACCCTGAGAAGTGAAAAGTGACTTAACCAAGATTGCATGGACAGCATATAATGAATCACATGCCCAAACCAGATCCTCCCACTCAGAATCTGATGCTCTTTCAACCACATTCTAGATGGAGTTAGAGTCCACGTCTTCTTGTCCCCAAGACAATGCTTTCTACAAGACATCAAGTATTGCAAGGAAGGGAGCAGGTGCCTTTGCTACTGCCTCACTGATACCAACATAGGAAGGTGATGCCAACCAAAGTCAAAGCTAGTCACATAGCCAAGGGCAAGTTCTTCGCGATCCCAGAGTCTTAGTGTCCACATCTGTAAAATGATGCTAAGACTAGCACCTGCCTTTATAGAAGTTTTGAGAATTAAATGAGAAAATTATGTAGACTCCTGACCATAAATGCTTGACATAAAGTAACCATTCAATAAATAGCAACTTCTACTATGAGAATAGTTACTATAATTATTGATAACCTCCCTGAGTCTCAGCCTTCAGATTCTCTAATTTTAGAAGCTAAAACTAAATAAGTCCTATGGATTCTCTCACTTCTAACTGTCCAAGACTCTGCTCTGCCTACTGCTGGCACAGAGGATCTCTGTTCCTCTTTATTTGCAGGGAATTCAAAGCATAGGAACATGGTAGAGAATACACTGGAAAAGAGAAAAGGCTACAAAAGAGAAAACTGGGGTGAAAACTGCTGTCTCCTTCTCCATTTGGCCTGAGGCCAGCCTCCCTTTACTTTAGTCAAAGCATTCAATCCCCACTATCTTGTTGACTCATTTAAACAGGTATATAGGGGCCAGCCTGGTGGCACAGAGGTTAAGTGCGCACTTTGCGCTTCTCAGCGGCCTGGGTTTCACTGGTTCGGTTCCCAGGTGCAGAAACGGCACTGCTTGGCAAAAGCCATGTGGTAGGTGTCCCATGTATAAAGTAGAGGAAGATGGGCATGGATGTTAGCTCAGGGTCAGTCTTCCTCAGCAAAAAGAGGAGGATTGGCAGTAGTTAGCTCAGGGCTAATCTTCCTCAAAAAAAATAAATAAAATAAAAATAAAATAAACAGGTATATAACCTGGCACTGAAGTAGAGGCTCCATCAAAGACCCATGGGCCCAATATTGCCTGTAAATATAGGCTTTAAAGATAGTTTCCAAAAACTAAATTCATTTCCAACATGAAAAAAAAAAATCAAGATGTCTAAATAGCTTCTCTTGAAAACTCAGGAGATATGAGTCCATGTGACATCAAGACAACAGCTGGCACTGAGGAGGGGCTGTGGACCCCTTTACCAGAATCACACCTACCCCCATCCTGGTCCACCTCCCCACTCCACCTCCTTTATAGAACTTGATTGGCCCTTGGAAGGATTTGAGTTCAAGACCTCCTTCTCTAAAGCCTTTCATAGACTGATTGACATCCAGTGGGTCTTTCATCCTCTTCTTGCCCCCAGGAAAAGGTGATGCCAAAAAGGAGACAGAGAAAAAGAAGAGGCTCGGGGCAAAAGCTCGCATTACTGGGCCTTGAAGAAGCCAGAATTGTGCTTAGATCAGCGGAAAAATGAAAGACAAACAAGTACATGTCAGAATGCCTGTCAACTGGCTATTTGGGGACAAAGGTAAGCTTGATAAAAATTGCTATCCATGCAGAAAGGGCAATTAATGTAAAGGTTAGATGGCCACTCCAGGCTGCTTAAGTCCACGTGGAACTGTCCTGTTATCAGCAGATGCTATTTCTTACTTTGGTGTCCCTCATACTCAAAAGATTTCCTGCAGACCTAGGAATAGCATCTGAGAGGGCCCGTGACACTTGCCTCTGTTGTTTTCAATGGTCCCACTGGTGATAAACAAGAGGCTGAGAAGGGCCACCGTGACCGCAGTCATCATTACAAGGAGGAAAATCAGGAACATCTCTAACATGGAGAAGCTGCGTTTAGCCATTTCTCCTGAGGAAAAGCAGAGATGGAAGAAGAAATATGAAAGAGGCAAAAAAAACACAGAATCGCAAATTAAAATTCATAGGCTTTGAGCTGCCCAAAGTTAAGACATCTTAGCTTTTTCATATGAACAGGCCTTACCAGACGTGGCAAGTACAGAGCACACTTGCCACTAGTTCCATAACCCATGCCTAAGGCAGACAAGACCAATCAATTACAACACTCTTTGATAAGCTTAGGTGGGGTTTCCAAATCCTTTTCAGCACAGTCCTCGCCCTGGAAGCCATCACTATCATTTGACCTTAGCAACTAAGCCAAATTCTATTTGCATTCCTTGGCTACAACATTGTTGCTTTCATTTATGGTGATGATGCTGTCTGCACGTAGGTCTAAGTTGGCACACTTCCGTCAACAAGGATGATTGAGGCACCCACACTGCTTGCACTTCTGAGAAGGCTGGCTGGGGTTAGGGCTGTACTCTGTGGTCATGGACTAAGAAAAATTATCTTGTCCACATGGAGGTAAAACCCATAACTTTGGCATTTAAGCTTCATGTTCTAACTTCCAATTACTACCTAAGGAGAAAATGGCATGGAGAAGGGAGCCGGCATCTCTGGTCTCAAGCCAGGCATTAGTAAAATTTCCATCTTCAGTGATCAGAAGGATCCCACCCATTTTGTAAGCCCTGTATCAAAGGATGAGGATAAAGATAACGCCCCTGGGTTCTACAAAAGCAGAAAATGTCCTTACAGATTCCTTAAGATATTTTAGGAGAATCCATCATTACTCAGAGGGACTATAGAAGCTAAAAACCCATATAATGTAGCAGGAGAAGATACAATACAATAGTTCAAAGTTGGATTCCAAAGTCTGAGTCCAGAATTCAAATCTCATTCCGCCACTTGCTGTAAATAACCTTGGGGAAATCTTCCCCAACAATGAGCCTCAGTTTCCCCATCTGTAAACAGGGATATGATGATGATGATAATTTTTGTACCTACCTCATAGAGTTCCTATAAAAATGAGATGATGCAAGTAATAATTTGTTTGTTCCATGGAATGTAATAAGTGCTCAAAATGTTAGCATTTATCATTAGGTTCCAAAATAGCAGAGACACTGTGCTCCTCACTGTCATTAAAGGGAGTTTATATGAGCCTAGCATTAAAGGATTATTGGAATCACAGGTAGGAACTTAAAAGCCCATTTTCTTAATGTGTGCTTTAGGAAGCCTGAGCAGTGAGATGAGCTAGTAGTCCCAAGACTTGTCCTCAAAATGGGCAATATGTGGCTGAGATGATGCAAACCACAAGAGTTGTAAATTGGCAACAAACAGATATGTTTAGGATGGTCCAGACAATTTTTTGTTTCAATTTGACTTAGTTGACAAAAGATAGAGCTTACCAAGTTTACCTGTAAATATAGAGTCCACATTAACAAATCGGAAACTTCAAATTTTCTTTCAAAATATTTCATAAAATATGGCAACACTGAGCCAGCATTCCCATGGGCCAAGAGATTTTCATAAAACTTAGTAATTACCACTTCATTTAGATTGGGTATACTTTCTCCAGCCTGACACGTCCGTTCCCAGTGGACTTATCCATCTAAGCTACTACCTGGTCTTTGTAGTAATTTTATTTTGCAATCCTTGGACTGGAGGTTAAATCAGTTTAACAGAAAACAGTTCAGAGGGAGAACTGAATTGAGAGTGGACAAAGACTGGAACATATTCCCAGATTTCCTGGTTATTGACAAGCTTTCCTCATCGATTTATCACCACCATGATGACCACTATCACCAACCACAGCAACAACTTCATATTTAGGGCAAAATGAATTAGTTCTGTAACTCAGTCCCAACTTTCGCTGTCAGCCCTGAGCAGTCAAGAAGCACATCTAAGATATGTCTCTGAAACTTTGATGATCCAAAAAAGTTTGCTAGTCATTTGCTGCTGTTTCAAACTTCAAGCCCAGTATGCCTAGTTCTTTCTCAAAGCTTTGGTTTCTGAGCCTTCCTACTAGCTGAGACAGCTTCTGCACAAAGAAGGCAACTCAAAGCAGATGAGTGACAGCTGGACCTCCTAACCCCAGAGCATCTACAAGCAGATTGCATACGTAAATGTGACCACATGGTAGGAGCGTGTGTAACAAACAGACATGGTACAAAATAATAATTTTTGTTGTTGTTAGTTTTGTTCTGTTGATCTGATGACCACCACCGGCCTTTTTCACAAGTCAACAATGGTACTTAATTAACATTTGAGTTTCCACCTGTTACTTGGATTTCAGTGATGGACCTCATGTGTCTCACTGTTCTGTTTAGTTGCCAGAATCGCTGTCAATATATTACTATTCTTTTTGAACCAGTCAGCACTATTTATTTCTCACTGATGATTCAAAACTGAATTCAAACGTTAAATGCCTTGTCTGCCTTCAGAAGGCAAATGCACCTTGGAGAGCTCAGCCAATGATTACAATTTAAAGGATTCTACATTTCCTAAGGGCTCCCACTTAATCCTGCATGATCCTATAAACTCAAGGATGAGGCTCTAATGACACAATAGCAAGTCACTTGCCGCATGTTTACCACACCGAGGTCCCTGTTTTTCAAGACTATGACAGTAAAAAGTAATTACTTAGCAAAGTGGGTTTCTAAAGCTAAGAAAATGAAGTGAAGCTTCAGGGTTTCATCAAGATCTCTGAGACAATGGGATGATTCAAGATCCCCTCCTCCCTCTCCCAGAAAACACAGGCATTCTTACCTGATTCGACCGCTCACAAGAGCTTCTGCCTTCCAATAAAGCAAATGATCGCTCAGAACCTTGTTTCCTTCCCCCTTGCACGTTACTTGGCTAAGACTTCTCAGCACTTTCTGAAGCCTACCGAGGAAAGATTTTCACAGTCATGTCCAGGAGAGCTAGGGTGATTATTAGCATACCTTTGTAGGCTTGGTACAAGGATGAGATTAAAGAGTATTGATAACAAAAGGCTTATATGTAAAGCCTCTCCTGGGACGGCCTGATACTGAGGTAGAAGTCACAGAAGGCCTGTTGGGCTGAAGGTCATTTCAGCCTTTACACAGCTCTCCCAGCATGACAAGTTCTATGCAATATCTACAACCTCGATCACAAAATAAAAGGCACCTTTTTTATTTACCACTGGTCACTCAACCAGCCATCGACAGGGAGTGACGATGTATGCTAGACATTAGCGTGAGCTATGGGTCCCATGGGCAATATTTACACTAATTTCAGAACAAAAAGTGATTTTAATTCTTACATTTTCACATATAAAGAGAATGTAACGTTTTAGATGAACTAAGAATGTGAATAACGAATATATAACAGGGCAAGAATGCTACGCAATCATTAAAAATTATATTGAAGAAGGTAGTTTAATGACATGAAAAATTATTTAATATTAAGTTATTTTAAGTTTATAAAACATTTTGATCCCATTTTTGTAAAGTATACATTATTTATATATGTGCGGTCATAAAGACTGCAAGAAAGTAAAGCAAAATTTTAAGACATAATTATCTGTTGGTAAGATTATGGGTAGGTTTTGTTTTCATCTTTTCGATTCCTCATATTTTCTATAATAGCCATGTAACACTTTTGTAATGGGGAAAACAAAATGTTTTATACCTCCTCTTGGAAAATATATACTATATAATAGCATGAAGTTAAACAATGGCCCACAAGAGAGGAAAAGAGCAAGAAATCGACAAAACCCCTCCTTTTTTCTTAGTAATCCAAACTGTCCAGGAAGCATTTTGAAGACGACGACATGGGCCACTCGCTTCCTCATAGAGCTTTAAGAGACACCAGCCCCCAAATGGAAATATTAGAGAGATAAACGCCTTCAGACGGAGCACTTAGTAACGTATCTTAGCTACCTCTCTATTTCTACAGAGGGGAACAGGTTAAATTATGGTATTAAACAAGTTTTTTTCCTTCGCGCATTTATGTTGGAATTCTTAGTTTCAAGCAATAGAGCCCAAATCTAGCTGACTTAAGGAAGGGGAAAAAGAGAGAGAAGTAAATTTACTAGAAGACAACAAGAAGTTGAAGATGGAGCTCAGGAAGCCCGGAGATCAGGCAGGCCAGCTCTGTTGGGGGAGGTGGCAGGAGCCATTGCACAGTGTCTTTAGGGCATCTCCACTGAAATGGATGCACTCCGACAATTTCAGTCTTTATGTTGCTCCACTTAGGATTCAATTCCTGAAAGACAGCATCCGACTGGCCTAACTCAGGTCATATGCTTAGCCCTTCTCTTGAGGGGATCCTTAAATAGAAATCTCAACAAGACCATACCTGACGAGGGAAGGGTAGTTCTCCAAATAAAATCAAGGTAAGTAAAAACCGCAGATACCCGCTAGTGACTGCCATTGGATTTCCTTCTCCCACGCTTCTCTCTCACAGTGGGAGGACCTCTAAACTGCCCCTGCATTCTCTTCCAGACCTCTCCAGCCTTCCTTCTCTCCATAAAAAGGAGCCATGCCATGCTCATTCATGCTGAGACCTGCTGGGTGACCCACAATCTAGTCAAATAAGATCAATTTACCCAGAGTTTTAGTAGATGATAATGGCATAATATATCATTTCTCCCAGACGACATTTGAACATACCTGAACACTAAGGGGGTGAGAGTCAAGGAGTTCCAAGCAGTGTGGCAGAGCCAGTGGAGGAAAGACGCTGGGCCAAGGGGACTTGGGGTGCCCATCAAAACAGTTGGGCCCTATAGCCAATAATAAATCGACCTTGGGGTGAGGGGAAGTATAATCCTTGCAAATATTTCAACTTGCAAATATATTTTATTTCCATCTGAATGACCCTCAAATAAATCGTGTTAGCTAGGATTAGAATGAGTGTCCTTCTCTATTCTCTACCCCAGGATGATCACTCGTGTACACATATTCTACCCATTTTACAGACGAGGAAACAGATAAAGAAAGATTAAATGGCATCCAAAACAGGAAACAATGTTTAAAAAAGTGTGCATGATTT